GAGCGGGAGGGCAGAGCCGGGGGAAGGAACAGCCCCCAGGGCACGGAGAAGCACAGGCATCTCCATTGGAGCACAGAAGGAAAAGGCTCAGCCCTCAAACATCCCCAGGCGCTGCGCTGACAGAAGCGGTTGGAACACGGCTCCTTGGGGGCACCTCAGCCAAAACAATCCCAGGGTCATCACTGCTTTTCTAATTAATTGCACGTAGGAAGCGCTAGCGCTCCTTAGAGGGAGAAAATAACCAGCAGTGCAGCTCAGGAAGGGTTCCCGCAGCCCAAACACCGGCCTGGCAGCGCTGATGTCCGCTCACACGGCTCACACCGCATCTCCCCCCAGCCCCTCCGCGCAGCAAACACCGACCGCACCGCAATAAACGAACACCATTTGCTACACAGTGGCGACGGACACAGGTGCAAGAAAACTCCTCCTCTTCCTTCCCTTTTTTTTTTCCCCCCCCTTCCTTTTTTCTTTTTCTTTTTTCTTTTTTTCCCCTTCTTATCCTCCATCCTTCCTTCCCCATCCCGCTTTACCTTCCCCTCCGTACACGTCGAGGCCGCTCCCCCGGTGCTATCACAGCCGTTCCCCACCTGCGGTACTGAGCGGCCCGGTTCGGTCCGACCCGGCCCCAGGGACGCGGCGACGGCGGTGGCGTCGGCGGGGACGCAGAGAGGGGCCGGGCAGCCCGAACCACCGCCCCGGGGCGGAGCGGGAGGAACGGAGCCGCCCCACGGGGCTGGGGATGGAAGAGGGAGGGAGTTGGGGATGAGGGGTGGGGTTTGTAGGGGCGGGGGGGAGCTTTGATGGGTGGGGGTTGGAGGGGAGGGGGGTTGGCGTGAGTAGAGGGGTGCTGGGGGAGGGATCTCAGGTGGAGGGGTTGTGGATGGGGAGGTCTGGAGGGGAGGGTTTCTGATGGGAGTATTCTGGATGGAGGTGTTCTGGATAGGTTCCGATGTGTGGGGGGGTCTTGGATGGAAGGGTTTGGATAGGGAGTTCTCAATGGGGGGGTTCTGATTTGAAGAGTCCTGGAGAGGGGATCCTAGATGGAGGGTTCTGTGTGGGGGTCCCCCTTTGGGCAGAGTGGGAACCCCCATGACAGACCCAGCACTGCACTCCCTATCTGCTTCTGGAACTTTCTGTCATTTTATTGCATTATCAGAAACAGAACAAAAACACTGGAAATGCCACTCAGAGCAGCAGCTGCTGAGCTCCCAGCACTGTACCTTTATTTGTATGCCAGTATGATACTGAACACAAGGCACAGAGTGTAACTACATACCTCTGTATCTCTGTACATCTGTACATCTCTGTATCTGCATATTGACATATCTATATATATGTATATGTATATCTATACATCTGTGCCTTACTGGTGATCAGCTAAGATGATATGTCTCACGAAAGAAGGGAAGGGAAGGGATGGGAAATAGGAAGGGAGAGGAGAGGAGAGGATCAATAAATACAAGCATTATAATTAAATAATGCCTTTAGTTTTGTCTAATGAAGAGTGAGTAAATAAAGGGCATCGTAACTGGAGCTTCAATGAGGAAAAAGAAAGAAGAACAAACTTCTTATTGTCATCCAATGAGCATCAAACAGCAAGAAGTCTGGAGCTGAGTTCTTCTGGTCACTTTGATGTCTGTTGTGGTCTCTTTTCATACTTAGTTCTAAGCACTCCTGGTTATGTCCTACCTGCAGAACTCTGAACTGCAGCTTAGGCACTGGGGTGAGGGATTGGGCCTGGGGATTGGGGCAGGGGCTGCAGCCGTCGGTGCAGTGCAGTGCAAGGAAATGCAACCATGCAGATTGGGAGTAGTGCAGGAGCTCCAAAGCCATGGGAGACAACATCGTGTAATAGGGAATGCATTTTGCTGAGCCACCCATTGGGTGCTGCTGCAGCATCTGTGCAAGGAGTGAAGCCAAAAGAGCACTGAAAAGAAAAGTACAACCACAGAGGGCTGCTTGCAGATGTTTGCTGGCATCCCTGCTTGTCCTGTGTCCTGCAGCCAGAGAGGGGAGCTCTGCCCATCCCTCCCTATGCCATGCACAGCGGGATGGAGAAATTTGGAACCAGAGCCAAATGGCTGCACTGGGAGTGAGCGGGTTCTCCAGTTTCAGTTTGGTTCTGTCCTTGATAGTGTTTGTGTCACAGGGAGAGCACACAGGCTCTGGTGGCCCTTCACATCCAGCAGAGATATGCAAAAATAGCCCAACAGGAAAGCACCAACGGGTTTGCCCAGGAGCTGCAGGTGCACAGCTGTCCTCACTGCTCCTCTTTAAGCCCAGCCCTGTGGAGCCCTCTGAGAATCAGATTATACAGATGAAACCCTGTGTTTTGCATTTTCCTTTGGACTCACATCTGCTTGTTAGCTGCCTCAGGGCCCACTCCTTGCTCACGTGCAACTCTGTTTCTCATGCACAGAGTATGCCACAAACTGCAGCTTAACCCAGGTTAGGTCCGTCAGGATAGGAGCAGAAGAAAGCTGCTCCAAAAACAAGTGGCTGGAATGGTGGCTGTTCACTTTGTCATTAGCCTCACATCTGTCAAAACAAAGGTCAGTCACCATACTGGGCTCTTACACATCACAGCCCTTATCAGTCTGAACTAGAGCATCTCCATCACTATCCCTTTTATTTAGGAGTGCAACTCCTTACTTAGCTGGAAAAGTGTGCTCAGCCCATTCCTCTGACCCAGCAGCTCTCAGAGATCTGAGACTGTGTGTATTAGGAATCATTTCTTCTGAGAAGCAGCAGTCAGGCACTGGCACAAGGACTGATAGGGTCACCACCCCTGGAAGTGTTCTAGAGCCATAGAGATGTGACACAGAAGGATGTGGTCAGTGGACACAGTGAGGGTGGGCTGGGCTTTGGCCTGGGGATCTGAGAGGTCTTTTCCAACCTCCATGAGTGGATGACGCTGTTATCATTTCTTTGGTTATTGAGTTGTGATCAGGTTTTGCACATTGGCCTCGGACACTTCTGTGTGCTGCAGGTGGTCCTGGGGCCCTGACCCCTCTGCACATTGGGTGCCACAGTACTGGCTGCAGTGTTCCTCTGCTTCTCCCTTCCATGTTAGCTCTAGGGTGGGAAAACTCTCAGCACGCAAGGAAAAATGATGGAGAAGCAAGTGGCAGAGGCAGAGCAGACAAAAGGCACAGTGTGGCTGAGCCCAGAGGCTTTCAGCCTGCTCACAGCTTGCAGTTCTCTTTAATTTAGGGAACAAAGGAACTCAGGGTATCGGCCGGCACCATTCAGGCCGTGGGGAGCAGATGGCCGAGCTCATGCTCTTTGTTTCTCACCTCCTCTCTCTCTCCAAAAGCGTTTTTCTCCTCCTCAGCATCTGCAGCACTGTTTGGCTCTCCCTGCAGCTCCTTCCCTGCTGAACAGCCCTTTGCCCCACTGGGAGGATTTCCTGCAGGGCCCTTCTTTGCCTACCCCAGTGCTCTGCATCTTCTGCTGGGTGGGATGCAGCCCAGCAGCAGGAGGTGATGCATTCACCTGACCTCGAGGTGTCTGCGATGGAAACGCAGTGGGAAGCAACTGCTGCAAGAGGAGACTCACAGAGGGGAAAGCAGGAAGGCTCCTCAGTGCCCCAAGCAAAGCACGGCCTGCGGACAAATGCACACTTGAGTGCAAATCTATGCTATGGTTATCAATTTTCTTTTCTTTTTTTTTTCCCAGTATTTTTTTTTTCTCTGCACTCTTAGCAATGAAGGAATAAACAAACCATAATCACGCATAAAATGGGAAGGATTACACAGAGGCAATGGGCACAGACAAAATTAAGGGCAGGCACAGATTTTGGGATCGGAGCTCTTCTTTCAGCCTTATGGACTCTTAGTAAAATGAACTTTTTCCCTTGGAGCTTTTCGTTCTCATTGCTGCAGTTGAAGGCATGGAGATCCCGTGCATGCCAGTAGAGCACGAGCAGAGCAAACAGCAGCACTGCTGCTGGGGTCTGTCACTGCATGCAATCCCTGTGGCTTGCAGACAAAGCAGCAAGTCATTGTCTAAAAAGTCACCAAGTGTGATGCTGCTGACTGACACAGCTGGATGTCCTGTCCCTGGAGGTGTTCAAGGCCAGGTTGGATGGGGCCCTGTGCAGCCTGGTCTAGTATTAAATGGGGAGGTTGGAGATTCATGATCCTTGAGGTCCCTTCCAAGCTGGGCCATTCTGTGATCCAACTCTTCCACCTCAGGCTCCTCCTGCAGCTCCCAGATCTTTGCCATTCCAGAGCTGATCTCTATGTTTTGCTTCAGCATTTGCTCTCTGGAATTAATTGCTGCACAGCAAAGCGAGGTGCTTTGCTGTAAACAAACCAGCAGCCAGCAACTCACATCGTGTTTAAAAAATTGCTTAAAAGATCTCAGGAGACAAATGGCCTTTTTTTGCACAGTTTGGAAGCAGTGCGGGTGGGAGGAGGAGATATATGCAGGGATGCAGGCAGAGATGAATGCACAGAGGGGAGAAGAAAAGGATTCATATAGGGATGGCAGGCAGGGATGCACACAGTGGTGAAGGCAGGGATGCAAGCAAGGATGCATGCAGGGATGCATGCAGAAATGCACTGAGGGTTGAAGTAAGAGATGCACAGAGGGACTGATGGAAGGATGCATGCCGGGATGTGAACAGGGATGCACGCTGAGGTGAAGGCAGGGATGCAAGTAGGGCTGCATGCACAAATGCACGGAAGGGTGAAGGAAGAAATGGACGGAGAGATTCATGATGTATGCAAGGACGAACCCCAAAAAATCTGGGGAGCAGGGGTGGGGGGGTGCAAAAAAAACAACCCCTCCCTACACCACTGCGCTGCAGGAGCGGAGCCACGCACCGCCTTGAGCGCGACCCCCGCCGCTGCCCCCCCCTCCCACCGCGCAGCCTCCGCGCCGCTCCGCGCAGCAGCGCCCTCTGCAGGCGGCCGCCGGAGGCTGCGGGACTACAGCTCCCAGAGGGCAGTGCGGCGGCCGTCGGCAGCGCGCCTGCGCACTGCGCCCCCCAGCTCCAAGTTTGGAGCTGCGAGCTGCCAGCCCTGGCCCATCATGTAGGTGCAGCAGAGCCTTCCCCAGCACTGCAAGCAGGGGGGGAGGAAACCCCCCGCGCTGCAAGCTGCCCTGCAAAGTGTGCAATTGCACGGCCCCCCGCTGCAAGGAGAGCTGCTGCAGCGAGTCAGGAAAACTCCAGTTGCATGAAGATTGAGCGCTTGCAGTTTGCATCTTTGTTGCAAAACTAGCTCCAGAAGAGAGGCAAGGCAAAGTCTTTTGTGCTCCCCTCCCCCATCAAAGCAAAGGGGAAAATGTCTCAGTCGAGAGGTAAGGCTCCTACTTCTGTTCGTTGCAAATATGCAAAAAGCCGTGCATGCATTTTGCAGTGCATGCATGCATTTTTCGGGATGCAATTGCATTTTGAAGTTTGAGGCTTTCAATGGCTCTCAGTTGCATTTCCTGTTTAGTATGTGCCTTTTTGCAGCCACACACACACTCACACACACAGTTCCTGTAAGGCAGGGCTCGCACTTCAGCTGTGCATTGACGTTATTTGAATTCTTCTGCGGGCATTACGGAGCCCTTTCTGCCTTTTGCACAGTCAGGACAGGGAGAGGGTGCGGAGGAGCAGATGCATTCGCTGTCGTGTGGTGTGCATGCAAAATGGGCACGGTGCAGGAGAACCGCAGCTGATTTGCAGCGCAAAATGAAATGAAACTTTTGCAGAACTCCGGGGACGAGATGAAAGGTGAAACTCGAGCGGAGTTACCAGGAATTAAATATATACCTATGTTTCCATGGGAAAGTATTGTTCTGGTGCCAGGGCTGAGATCATTTTTCCACCGATGTCTCTCTCCCCCCTTCCCCCCCCCCACCCCCCCAATAAGATGTGTAACTTTTGCAGGGAGCAACGCGTGCAGCGGGGCCGCGGGGTGCAGCGCTGCGATGGCTCGGGGGGCTGCAGGGGGGTACAGCAGAACCTCTGCGAGGGGCACGGGGGCGACGGGGGGGGGCGGAGGGCGGAGGGAGGGGGGGTGAAATATTGCAGAAATGCGGAGGGAATGCAAATAGTCCCTGCAGGGGGACTCTAATTGAGGCGCTGGGGGAGCTGCCGCTGTGGCCATTCATTGTGGAAATAATGCACATATGTCAGCGAGCGGCCACGCAGATGCAGCTTTTGGAAGCGCGTGGATTTGCTGTTGCAATGCATTTTGCAGCCTGGGGTGGTTGCAGCCCCCGGCTTGGCGCTGGGCTCACTCCGGGTCGTTCTGGGCTGTGCTCCTTTGGTGGCCCTTCCAGTGCTGGGGGACATGGCAGGAGTTTTCCTTTGTAAGAAAAATGTAAAGTTGTTGTATAATTTATTCCTAATTTGGGTTTGCTGCAGTCATCTTTTCCAGGCAGGCAGGGAATTGTAAAAGTTTCCAATAGGACAAGCCAAGGGAGTTTGATAGGGTGGAATTGAGCAGGATGGGACCCGGAGCTGCTCGCTGGGGGTCCCAGTGCATGGCAGGGGGTGAGTGGGGGACGGCTGCATCCTGGGGGTCCCCCCAGAAATGGGGTGAGGAAATGGGGCCACTGACAGCAGGGACCCACAGGGATATCCCGCAGCCCCAGTACCAGGAAAATGGGAAAAAGCGAGCGGCCAACCCACTGAGTGTGGCCTCAGTGAATGGCATCGTTCTGCGCTCCGCTGCCTGTCCATCTCGTGCTCTGTGATGGGAGCACTGGTGTGGAATTCTGTGTGCAGGCTCTTCTCCTTGGGATGAACTGAACCACCCCAAATCTGCATTTTGGAGCAGCTTTTTTGCACTGCACAGGAGGTTCTTCATCAGCGCTCTGCAATGCTGCACAGGGCTGCAGAAGGCTGCGGGGCTGCACAGCCCTCGCCCGGCTTTGAACCTGCTCCAAAGTTGTTTGGCAGCAATGGATGTTTCAGTGCTCCCTCTCAGGCTGGGAACTGAGGGGCTGCTTTTGCCACAGGGCTTCTCCCTGCAAAGCATCTTGCCTAGCTCCAGGCAGGAGCGCTCTGCAGCCCCCACACCTGTGCTGTGCTGTGCTGTGCAGTGGGATCTGCTTTTACATGGCCATGAGCTGCTGGAGCTGACTTGGCCTGGAGCTCAGAAACAGCTCCTTCCTTCTGGCCCTTCCTACAGCAGAAAGCGGTGATGCTTTCAGCATCATCATCCCTGTGTTACACAGCCATGGTACCCGCTGGGCTCCCCAACATTTTGTGGCCAGCAAAACATACCATCACTGCATACCAACTGCTGCGTTCCACCTCCTGCTCGTTTCTACTTCCATTCCTCCTTCAAGCTGACAAGTGGTATTTTGGGTTGGATGGAGGAGCTGCAGCAGTCTGCTCCCACCTGTGGCACTGCTGGGACCCGGTCTGGAGCCCCAGTGGGAGCAGTGGGGCCTTTGGCTGTCACCTATGGGATGTTCTTCTGGAAGAACAACTACACAGAAGGTTGCGTTCATGGCAAGCTAAGCACGGTTTGATGCTGTAAATCTGAACCCTCGTGGCAGTGGATCTGCTTGGGAGACTTCCAAATTTGTTGTGATGGGGAACTGTTGCCTGGGGAAGCCCACGTTGGAGAAGCACCTGCAAACACACAGCGTGCTGCCCAGAAATAAGAAAATGAAGGGGAGCAATGGTCATTAGAGAACTAATTATAAATACTTCACGGGCACGAGCTCCGCTTAACCACGAAATACGGCTGCATACGGATCTCATTCCCAGTGCTCACAGTTTGTTGCTTCAGATTGATTCTCCTTTCTGCACCGCAGCTGCAAAGGGAACAGCAATAGTGAGAACCACGGCCCACGTGACGCTGCTGATCGCGTACCCTATGGACTTTGATCAAAGGCTCTGCACCTCTCCGCAGCGCTGCATTTCATGGAGAGCTCTCTTTTTCCACCCAGAAACTGCAACGGAACGAATGCGAATCCAAAATGGTGGACGTTTTCTTTTCCAAACAAAACAAAACAACCGCCGTGGGGAGGCAGCAGGTCTTTGCTCGTAGCAAATTGACCCACGAGCACCGCGTTGTGCAACGCCAGGTTGCCTCGTCAGCACCATGCTGCCATGACACAGGCACTTGGCATGGGTGGAATAGGGCCGGGTCTGGCTGCAAACCAACCCATCTCAGCTCAAGTTCTACAGTGTTGCTTTTTTTTTTTTTTGCTTTTTTTTTTTTTTTTTCCTATAGTATTTTTTTGCTGAATTGCTATCTGACAATGCAAATTGCCTCGTCCCCGTTGCATGACTTGTTTACTCTGTGCCGCTTTTTGTGATGGAGCTTGCCTGCGTTAAGCACTTTTGAAGGCTGGAGCACCTCTGCTATGAAAAAAGGTGGAGGGAATTGGGCTTGTTTAGCTTGGAGAAGAGAAGGCTCCTGGAAACCTCAATGAGGCCTTCCAGTACTTGAAAGGAGTGTATAAATAGGAGGAGGAATGGCTGTTTATGAGGGTGGACAGTGATAGGATGCAGAGAATGGTGACGCACTGGAACAGGTTGCCCAAGAAGGTTGTGGATGCCCCATCCCTGGAGGTATTCAGGGCCAGGCTGGATGTGGCTCTGGGCAGCCTGGTCTGGTGGTTGGTGACCCTGCACATAGCAAGGGGTTGAAACTGGATGAGCATTGTGGCCCTTTTCAACCCAGGCCATTCTGTGATAAGCAGCGTGGAGGTATGGATAAGGAAGTGTGGAAGTGCGGTGCATTGCTGGAGGAATTAAGTAGCATGGGATGAAGGACAGGCAGATGGCTGGGGTGGAAAGCAGCAGGCAGCAGTGTTTGATGTCAGTCAAAGAAGTGCACTGTGCAGCTGAGCGAGGGGGAATCGTGCGCCCTGCACCTCGTGGTGCTGCTCTGCTGCTCCCATGGCATTGCCCTGAGGATGGAGCTGCACCTCGGGCTGTGCTGCACCCACCATGCTGTTCCTGCAGCAATGTGGCAGGAGGGCAACGCTCCCCAGGGCTCAGCAGGGACAGGAAACCATCAGCATATAAAAAGCTTGAACTATATGAGCAATTACAGCAATAAAAGTGATACGTTGCGGGGGGAAAGGAATAAAGCCACGGCGTGTCTTTTTTAGGTTTCTCTCTGCCACACCAAGTGGTGCTCATTTGTTTCCTTCAGTTCCCAAAAAGCAGACCTTCCTCTGGGGTGAATTCCCTCCTGTGACACACACATACACATTAGCTGCTAAGATGAAACAAACGATGCTCAGTTAAAACCACAGGAGTAATTTAGGGAGCTGAGACTCTTCATTCTTCCGAGAATATTGGTGTTCACGGAACACAATTAGCATGGAAGTCACAAAGCAGACTTGTCCATCTCATGCTGTGGTTGCAGATGTATCAGATAACTAAGAAGTTGGTTTGGTTGGCTTGTTTGGCTCCAGGGGCAACCCTGGGCCAATGGGGCAGGATGGATGATGGCCCCAAAGGCAGCTCTGTGCCAGTAGGGTGCACTGGGTGATGGTTTGGCTGTGGGGTCACTGGAGACTGGAAAAAACGCAGGGCTGCTCTGTGCATTTCAGCCATGGCCAGAGCTATAATTACAAAAGTTGTTTCGTTAGCTGCAGAGTTGCTTAGCTCCCTTCCTTAGGGCCTGGCTGGGAATAGTTTAAGAGATTAGCATTATCAGCTAGAGCAATGTTAGCACTAAAGCAGATCTAGGATCCTGGAGCTTTGCCACGCCAGATATATTCTGCAGCAGCAGAGCAGGAAAGGCCATTCAGTACCACTCCATACCCACACACAGTGCAAAAAGGTTTCGGCTTTTTTGCTTTTTGTCTTCCAAATCCATGTTATTTTGCACGAGTTCAAATTTTGACGAGTACAAATGAAAAAGTGCACTGTAATTCTGGCTCAGTGAAAAGCCATTGGGAGGGGGAAGCCTGAGCCATGCTTATAGGGCTTTCTTCTGCCTCAAAGCCAAACCGAAAGCTCTCCTTCCCCCAGAGCAGGAAATCCCAAACACTTGGTTGACGTTTCAGGGAGTTGATCCCATCATTAAGGTCTCTGGGGTGCGAAAGCACTCGTGACTCATCTCGGTTTTGGAGATGTTGCAAGCAGATGCAGCACATCCTCCACAAGGGCTGCAGGAAGCTGCTGGCGCATCCCAAGTGAAAAGCACTGAAGCACTGTGCTGAGCATCCTTCAGGGTCTGCACCCCATCATTGCTGAATGTGGGGCAGGCACTGCTCAGGCTGCGTTGCTGCCCCAAAACCATCACACCAAGGGCCTTTGCACATTAGGCTGAGTGCACTGAAGCCCAAGGAGCATTGTGCAAGCGGCCGGAGGGAGCAGCCTTTGCAGTTTGGTATTTGTAAGAAAGACTTCAGGGAAAGAGATTTTTTTTCCCCCTGTTGAAGCAGGAAAACTTCACTGAGCGGAGCTGATCCAGTTTCTTGCTGCTGCTGTTTTGTTAGCCTACTTAGCTTGCCATTTTCTCATCAAGGCTGGGCTCTCCTCATCTGCACCACGCAGATCAAGAATCATTAGCAGAGCTGAAGCCCAACAAACATCCACTTTTACTGCACTCTGATGAAACCAGTGGAAAAAAACAGTAAAAGTCACAGCTGAGATGCCAAAGATAAGGCAGCAATAGAAAATAAGTACAGGAGTCACCACTTCTGTCTGCAGCGAGAGGCCTTCAGGAAGGCTGAATGGGCAGAGCTGCTGTAGCTGCATTTGAAGGAGAATCTCCTAAACAAAAGTATGCAATTGCACTTCATAAAGCAATGCTTATCAGTACACAGTGGCCTCAGAGCAGTGTGTGTGGTGGAAATCCCAGTACCTGTGTTGTTGTGCTGCTTCACCCCACGGTGGGTCTCATCCTGGCTCTGCCCATTGCTGTGTTTGCAGCAGGGCCCATCTGACACTGCTTTATGGAAATTACTGCTTCCTTCCATGCAGTTGTTTCTCTTAAGTGCGTTTATTGCTTCTCCAGTAGTTCAAGGGCAGATACAGAAAATGGCAAAAAAAAAAAAAAAAAAAGCAAAGCCTTTTGTTGCTCTGATGGCTCTAAAGTAATGGATTTCCCTCTGGCACAACCCTGTGTTGAGAGGAAAAGGAGGAAAAAAAAGGTTTTTCAACCTTTTTCAGCTGAGGAGCTCCAGCAATGACTGCTGGCTGTGCCCTGGGCTTGCTCTGCTCCAGCTCAGTCACCCAGCAGCTCCATCCCTCTAAGCTGTGCACCCCTGCCCTGAGCAGAGGGTGCATGGGCTGAGGTCCCACAGAGCACTGTGCTGCCCTTGGCATGGGCTCCACACTCCCCAGGCACTTTTCCAGTACTGGCAACTGGAAGCCATTTAGAGGCACACTTTCCAGCTTAGATTTCAACACAGCCCTTTCTTTCTAGTGCTGTTTTAATTGCCTACAATTAGGGTCTCCCATGCTGCAAAAATGGGAAAGAAAGCAAACCAGCTTTGCCTTTGCAAGGGCTGGAGCTGATTTTTGTCTTCCAAACTGTGGCCTTTTCTAAGGGAAGTGCCAGCCCACGAGAACAGCAGTTGTGCATGCTATGCCTGCTGGTTTGAGCCCATATTAAGTGGCTTGTGATGTAGAATCATAGCATCATTAAGGTTGGAAAGGACTGCTAAGATCATCAACACCAGCCCACCCCTGTTGTGCCCACTGACCCTATCCCTCAGTGCCACATCTTTGTGGTTTTGGGACACCTCCCTGCCCTCCCCCCCACTCCTTGGGCAGCTGTGCCACTGCATCACTGCTCTTTCAGAGAAGAAAAGTTTCCTAGAACCAACCTGAACATCCCCTGGTGCAACTTGAGGCCATTAAGGGACACTGCAGTGGGTTTCCTATAAGCTGAGTAACCTCTGGAGCTTGGGCACAGTGATGCAGCCCCTACTGCACTCCTGATGCAGGATTCCTTCCCCCTGCTCAGAGCTGTTGATGCAGCAGCTCACTCCCAGGCGAACCTCAGCACTTAACTGTACTAATTAAATGTTTTCAGAAACCACAAGATTGACCTTCACTGCATGCCCACAGATTTTTCTCTTATTTAACGAGTACAGGGTTGACGGGGTAACCTATTAAAGGAAAATAGCAGTGCTCTAGATACTGTTGTTTTCCCAACCTGTTCCAATGTGTTTTTTGCTTTTTAGCTATGGGGCTGGGAGCCACAATCCCTTAATAGCCTAGAGGAAGAGCCAGGCTGGAGATGAGGAATGCTCAGCACAAAGTCTGATAGAACAGTCAGCATCCCCCAGGCTGGAGCTCCCCAGGTCCGTATGCAAGAAACCACAGCAGCCAACATCCATCCATAGGGACGCTTACCTAATAGTTCTGCACAGCACAGGGCCATCCTTGGGGAGATACCCTCTAGAAGAAAAAAAAATAATAATAATAAAGGCAATTAACACAGAGCTTGGCTGCCTTACCTTTCCCAAGGACAGCACTGATATGCTTATTGCTCACACAGCTTCGAACCTCTCTGCAGAGGATTTGACTTGCTGCCAAAGGAGCAGTTTCACCAACGAAGGGAAGGAGCAGTGCAGTGTGTGTGTGTGTGTGTCACAGGAGGACATGGCAGGACAGCAGCATCCCAGCTGCAGGCAGATCCCAGGCCATCCCTGGCAGATGTTGCACTCAGAGGTTATCAGTTGTAAATCACTTTCTGGAGGTCAGAGTGATTGCGTTCACAGAGGTCCCTTGTAGAAGGGGCACTGGGGTCACAGCAGCACCCGCGGCAGGGCAGGGAGCGTGCTCCCACCCAGGGCAGCTCCATTCATGTCATAGGCAGCTTCCCTTGGAGCTAACTGTGATTTATCTTTTTTCCCCTCTCAAAAACATTTGGCACTTCCCCCGCAAGAAATCAGGAGCTCTGTGTCAGATAAGGGGCTGGAACAGCTTCCTGCAAGCAGGGAGCATTCCTCCTCTTCTTCCAGCCCAATACCAGCACTAGCAATTACCTTACCTTGCAGCATACACATTAGAGCCATCCTCTGCCAGCACCACCCCCAGGAGCACCTCTTGCAGGATCTGTCCCCAGGATCCTGCTTTACAAAGGCATTGCCACAGCTGATGCCAAGCAGCAATGAATGGGAACAGATTCAGAGCAGCTGGGCTGGGAGGGGTCTGGAGATTTGTTTGCTTTCCCTATACAAGTGAAGCTGAACGTGATTTTTTTAATTCATATTCTGATCTTGAAACTCCTTATGCATGTGTTAAACTTGGAGTGCGTGAGCAGAGTCAGTGGTACTGGATGTGCTTGCAGCTGAGCACACACATAAGAATTTACAGGGCTGGGGATGTATTTGCTCCTGGTTGCTAAGTGGGGTGGACATGTGGGATCTGTGTGATGATTTACACCACCCTGCTGCTCTCCCTTGGTTCCTTTTCTCCTATTTCTCCGTGTCCTTGTCAGAAAGCAGTGCTGTACTTGAGAGCATTTGTGCATCTAACTGAACGTTCAGTCACAAACCCAGCACAGGGAGTTCTACAGAGGCTTTGACAGAAAGGCTCCTAAAGGAAGTTCTGTGGTCACAGCTCCTGGCTTAGGCTGGGTGGAGAGGTGCAGCCTGGTGGGGTTTGATCCATGTTGGGCTTACGTGGGTAGAAAAACATTTGCTCACTTGTGTCAGGGATGCTTGGGTGGATGGGAAAAAGGGCAGGGAGTGCTGTCTTCTGCCAGAGTGCCGTGCCGTCATGCATTTTGTAATGTGTTCTGAACTGAAATAAAAATGGCGTGATAAAAATCTTGCTTTGCTTTATTAGATGAGGTGCAAGCACGTCCACGCTCTTGGCAGGTGCCTGGCAGGAGAGCTGCAAGTCCCTGCCCTCTAACTTCTGTCTAAATCCACTTGAACCTCAGGTCTTCCTTGGCAGCCCGAGCAATGCATCCCATATTCTACATCCTGTGTCCTTGGTCCTACATCCCATATTTTGCATCTTGGATCCTGCATCCCACATCACACATCTACATCCTGCATCTTTCAACTCGTGTCCTCCATCCCACATCCCATATCCTCCATCTCACATCCCGTATCCTGCAGTTTGCATCCCACATCTTGCATCCTGCATCTTGCATCCTCCACATCGTTTCTACTCCAGCCTGCATCCCGCATCCTTCATCACGCATCCTACATCCTACATCCTGTATCCCGAACTCACTGTGAGTGGGGGGCCCTACCTGTTTGCTGAGAGGCACTGCCAGCAGAGGGAGCATGAGTGAGCTCTGCCATCTGCGCTGCTCAGAGCGAAGTATCATCTTGAATTGTCTTGGTACAAAATTAAGCAAGCAGGCTCTCAGATGAGAAATGAATAGAAGAGGGTTCTTAATGGGAGAGAACACAGTCACGTTGGTCAGAATCTTGATCGTGTTGCCAACAAACAGAATTACAGGATCAATGGGCAGTTCTCTCTCTACTGTGCTTGGAACGTGAATCGCCTGTTTTATCCAAAGGTGGCTTTTCTTGTGAACAGTAGATTATAAACTCAGGTTTACATGCAGTGAATCAGCAGCAGGAGGTGGCTCCATGGCATTGCGTAAATGTCCAGCGTTTGCAGTATGCTGAGGCAGTTCAGTCCATCTCAGCAAAATGAACCCCTTGCGGCTGCTGAGCACGGAGCAGAGGGAATGTCACCACACAGGGGGTTGGTGTGGCACCAGGGTTGGTGTCCCAGCGACAGAAGAAGGCTGTTCCTCTGGGGCTCAGCCGAGCAGTGGAGGAATTCTGTTCCTCTGTTGAGTTTTCCAGGGAGTGGGTGTGTTAGGAAGGACAGAAGTGTTTGTAGCTGGGCTGTGGTTGGGGGGTTTAAGGCAGATGTGCTCCCACTGTGGCTAAGGCTGTGCGTGTCCGTGTGTCTGCATGCCCTTGTGTCCTTGGGTCTTGATGTCTTTGTGTCCACGTGTCAGTGTGTCTGTGTGTTTCTGTGTCTTTAGGCCCATATATCCATGTGTCCCCTTGCCTGTATGTCCACATGTCCACGTGTCTGTGTGTCCTTATGTCCGTCTGCCCACCCACATGCGCTGGCCATCCCGTTGCCGCTGGCAGGTGCCCTTTGGCGGACGGAGTAGAGAAATGAAGGTAGCAGCAATGAGAGCAGCCTCATCCTCCAGCTCTTCTTGCACAAAAGCCCTTTTGTTCCACGGGTGGATTCCAGGAGCTTTTCTCCAGTTTGGATTCCAGCAAACTCCCACTGGAAGCAGACAGCCGATGGTTTGGAAACAAAGCGGTGACTGCAGCAGTCCCTCCCCAAACCCTGTGCGGGCTGCAGGCTCCCAGCAGCAGCTTCTCTGGGTGGCAGTGCTGTGGGTTTCCTAATTGGAGATAGCAGCAAAGCACACAGGCTCCGAGATGGAAAGGTAGTGAAAGCAGAGGGGAGATATTAGTGTAATTTCCATGCTGGGATTTCTCCCCACTGCTGGCACATCCTTCCCAGAGCCCATTGCAGGAGCCCTGCAGAGAAGCTGTCCCCAGTGCTGGGTGCCCACATGGGTGTTGTGGTGGCCATGAGTGATTTGTGAGATTTGAGGCATTTGGGACAGGAGCAGGCTGGAATAGGTTTTTCACTGTAAGTAGGCTGTATGTGCAGGCAAACTGTCCAATTTTTCTTTTTTTTCTTTTTTTTTCACGTTTTTTTTTTTTTTTGCAAGCATCCTTGTAACCATTGCAGATGGGTTTGGAGGTACACTTGCATTGTGCTAAGGAGAATGGGACCACAGACTCCATGCAACACGGGCAGCATCCCCCAGCGGCCGCCCATGGCTCTTCACTCCAGTGGGTGTGAGTCAGAGCCCAGGCGTGTTTGTGCCTTAACTCGTTATTGCAGCACACCTGAGTGCTTGGCACACACAAACAAACCTTGTGCAACGTGGCCACGACCGGGGTCATCGGAGCTGGAACCGGAGTGGGCACATCCCTGCAACCTGCCACCTCCCCTCTGTGTGGGATGTGCCCAGGAGGGATGTGCTGCACTGTGCTGGGGGGGATTGCTGCCAGCTGTGCCCAGCTGTGTGCCTCTGTGCGCTGGGACATCGCTGCTGCTGGTTGCACCCAGCCGTGCCCTTTCCCCTGGCCACTGAACTGGGTGGATGCACATGTGGGATGCCTTCAGCCAAAGTGTTGTAATAAGGTTTTTAATAAGAAAACCTCCTGTGACCTGTGCTGAAAGCCGTAGGCAAGCAAAACTCTCCTATCTACCATCTCCTACTTGCATTAGCACCTGAAGTGTGATGGATTTCGGGTTGTTTTGCATTGCATCTGTTTTGGCTGGGAAGTGAAACCCAAGGTCTTGGTTCATTTTTGGTTGGTGGGGATCTGGGGAGGTGTAGAATCAGTTCATTAAGATCACAGAGTCATTAAGGTTGGAAAAGAGCACTGAGGTCTCCAAGTCCAACCCCACCCCACCCCCAACATGCCCATAACCACATCCCTCAGTGCTACATCCCCATGGTTCTGGAACACCTCTGGGGTTGGTGACTCCTCCATTCCTTGGGCAGCTGTGCCACTGCATCACTGCTTTTTTGGAGATGAAATTGTTCCTAATATCCAACCTGAACCTCTCCTGGTTCAGCCATCACTCTCATCCTACATCACTGCAGGACTCATGTCAAACCCCAGTCAAAGCATCCCTTCCATTCCAAAGCTCTTAATGCCTCCAACATGCAGAGGTGCAGCCATATCAGACCTCCTGCAACCAAAATATACAGGCAGATAGGAAGAAATGGCAGCCCTCTGCTTTCTGTATTGACGCAAATAAACACAGCAGCCTGCAGCCTGTTTGCAGGATGTGTTAAGAGAAAAATGGGCAGAGTACAAGAGCTGAGCCTGAATCAGGAAATTACCTTCCAAATTGAATTACGGAAATACAGAGCTTATTGAAAGACAGGCAAATGGGTTCTGATATTTGCACAGTTTGGTGTCGCTGCTGTATGCTTCAGCACTGCAGGAGCACACAGATTAGCCTGCTGGAGCTCCGAGTGCAAAGCTTTCTGCATGGCCTTTCTCACGTGTTTCGTTCTTGTGCCGCTTTCCTGACCCGTCCCTTGCAGGAGGCTGAGCTCACCCTGCAGCACACCCAGAGATCTTTGCATTGTGTTTGCACCTGGGCAGAGCTAACACAAGCTGGAAACGCAGCTCTCTTGCATCGGGACGCAACAGCGAGCAGCAGGGCGTTGCACAACCTTCGCACCATGCACCTCCTTGCAGAAACCCTGCTATTTTGGTTTGGGGCCTCTCCTGCAGGGTTGATTACAGGTTGCAGAGTTGAGTCATAAGGAGTGAGCAGAACCTTGCAGCAGTCCCAGCGGTGTGGGTGCTGATAGTGTCAGCCTGGGCCATGGGATCGTGGTGTGGGGCAGCAGGAGAATCAGTGTGGTACGCTGCCGTGGTCAGTGGGAATTGTACTGGGATGCATGCAGCATCCTCTGCTTGCAGGCTTCCAGTTGCACAGCTTTCCAGACGTTGTGTCTGGCCAGATAGGGATGCAGGGTTTGCCGTCACCATGTTGTTAAATGGGACTAATTGATGGATTGGTTTTGGAGAAAAGCAAGGGAGGAGTGGAGGGCTGAAGGTCAGAGGAAGTCAGGGCTGTGCCCTGGTCTCTGTGCCTGGCTCTGTGTTTCAGGCACATCCTGACTCCGGATCTTGCCACATCCATGACAATCACAAAAGCTCCCTTGCTTTTCCTGCTTCCTGTCCCCAAATGCGGTTTCTAAGGGGAAAAAAAAAAAAAAAGAAAAAAGAAAAAAGGAGACAGAGACAAAGAAGTGTGAGCCGCAGCACGGGTATGGAGTGCAGCTCAGGGGCTGCAGCTGGGATCCAGGAGCTGGGATCTGGAACCTAGGATGTAGGAGCTTGGAGCTGCTGCAGCCCCTTTCCCAGCAGCCCTGCACTGAGTTGTTAAGGAAACAGATTCCAAGCTGGCTGTTTCCAAGGAGTTCTTGCAAACAACATGAGGGAGGATGGGGATGAAGGAGAAGCAAGAGTCTTCATCCCAGCAGTGCAGTGGTGGAGGAGCAGCCACAAATGGCCAGGCTTGCTTATTA